TGGGAGGAGGTGAGTCAATTATTGTCGATATGGTAAAACTGAAACGCATACACACCTAATTGGACTACTGTTCCCCTTAGACGCCAAGGACATTGCAGTTAAAGATAGAACAAGAAGCCAGAAAGACGCAATAGTCTTCATCTATAAAACGTTTTTGTTTACTGCCTTTTTCTATCGAAATGTGCAAAATTGTTATTATAGTAAGTCTACAGACTCTCAACTACCAAACGTTATCGAATGAGAAATGGCCGTCACTGTTTTATAGTAGTAGGTGAGAAAAAGAGTTTTTAGACCAGTACTGTGGCAACAGGCGAATGACTTCTGATCTAACAGCGAGCAATTGTTAAGACTAGACTGTAAAAAAGGACCCCTTCCACACAACGTGCATATTACCTTAGCGACACGATATCATGTCATCTTTTGAAGAGTTAAGCAAACAATACTGAACTTTTCTCACATTTGAGTACGAAAAAGACACCACATATCAGTAATTTTTAAAGCGCAGGTGCAAGAGGAACAGAGTGAGGGATAGTGCTTTGTGAAAAGATACAATAAATGTCAGAGTTATATTAAGTAAAGTTATTATTGGAACTTCCTTTCAGGTTACGTGGCAGACTTTGGAGCCAAACGAGATGAAGCCGAAGAGATAGCCAAAGAACTCTCTTCCTTAGGCTGGATAGACCGGTATACCAGAGCAATCTTTGCAGAATTCGCGATTTACAATGCTGAGACGAACTTCTTCTGTGTCGTTACTCTGCTAACCGAGATTCTTCCATCAGGAGGGTACCATTTGAGCCCTAGAATTCAAACAATCCGACTCTACCGCTATGTAGGGCCAGAAATGGTGTTTGTAATGGCCTGCGAATTAGGCTACATGGCGTTTCTGCTTTACTTTCTCTATAAGCAGGTCAAGAAATACAGGGCTGAGCGACGAGAGTATTTCAAAGACCCGTGGAACTATCCAGAGCTGTTAGTTCTTGGATTTTCGTTGTCAGCAGTGGGGCTTTATTTCGCGCGTCTGGCTCTCACTAAATACAGTCTTCGCAGCATGCAAGATACACCAGACAAGTTTGTAAGCTTTCAGTACGTGGCATTCTTGGATGAATGGGTGTCCGCCACAACAGCCATGGCAGTGTTCTTCTCAGTATTAAAATTCCTCCGTCTGTTGAAATTCAACCGACGTGTTTCCACCCTGATGATAACCATTAAACTTGCTAGTAAACCTCTGTCGTCGTTCATGCTGTTGTTCTTCATACTGTTCTTGGCTTTTTCGCAGTTTGCGTTTGTGGTGTTTGGAATCGATAACGAAGACTATGCGTCATTCCCAAAGACTTTGGGAAGCATGATGTCCATGACGTTGGGAAGTTTTGACTTCGGTTCTTTGACAAGTTCGAGCCGAATTCTTGGTCCCGTGTTCTTCTTCTTGTACGTGGTGACGGTCTTATTTGTTCTCATGAACGTTTTCATCGGCATCTTAAATGACGCACTGAGCGAAGTGTCCAATGATTCGTCCATACAGTCCAACGAACATGAAATTCTTGACTTCATGTTACACACCTTCAAGCGTACCGTTGGTAAACAGGTTGGCCCTGCGATTAAACCCAACTACAAAGAACCAAAGAACCAGTTTGAGCTGAACTTGGACAGCATCGAGGAAATCTCAGAAAATGTTCAGTACGCTTTGAGAAACATCTGCATGGAGGACATAAGGCAAACAAACTGGTTTGAACCGGAAAATACAAACAAGAAGAAAAAAATTGTGATGATGCTGGTTTTGGAAACAGACGAAGACTTTACGGAAAACGACATTTGTGATAGCATTCCCGTTCTTGATGATTTAATGGCAAAGCACGATGAAAACGAGCTTTTAAGGAAGCTCATTTATTACCGCGAAGAGAAAAGACTGGAAGAGGAAGCCTCCCAGAACGAGGACGACCAATCAGGTAAATCTTCGGATGATGACGACGACGATCAGTCGGAGGACGATCTCGACTCGGATGACGACAACGCAAGCGTAGCGAGCGGGGACAGTGAATCGAAACCCCAGAAGCAGAAACTGAGATTCGTGGAACCTGCCGACACAGGATCCATGGACGGAATGGATCGAGGCTCCGCCCGGTCAGAGGCGAGGCTCAATCTACAAGCAAGTGGCACGTCTGAAGTGTGAACTTGGACTGAGAATTTTCCGACTATTGTTCATCTGAGGGTTCAATTCACATCTCATTTTGCACTTGTACTCTTCTCACTGCACGCTAACACTTAACTTTCACAAAACGTGTCTATTAAATAGACTTCTCGAGAGCATGACTCGGGTATACATACTGTCACTCCAAGCCTTTAACTCCCAAGATCTCTTTAGTAATTCTCCTTACTGTCTGCCATACAGTCCTTGTGATGCTAGTTTGAAGAATTTGGTATTGGATCAACTAATAATTCCCTTATTTATATTTTTCTTCATTCTCATCACTTGTCAGCTCGGTATTGTATTGATATTGTAAGGAGAAATTCTGTCTAGGTCACTCATGGGAGTTAAAAGGGTAACATTAACCAGAGACGAACTAGTGAGTGAGGGCTAGTGAGTTCAGATAAATCATTTTCTGCAATGGTCGAATTGATCACTGGACTGAATTAATTTTTAACGTGTGTGATTCAAATGTCGAACAAACATCGAAATAATTTGGCAAATTGAAAGGTGAGATATTTTCAAGTAAGCCAATTTATTGCCATTGATGAAAGAAGTTGCTAAAAGGCGACTAGGATCGCTGTTTATAGCGGTGAATTCAATTGTCAATTTACACTGTACCTTTCATAGCTCACTTGAACTCATTGGTTTTCCGTGAAAACTCCTAGCGAAGGTAAAAAGAAAAACACTCCTGAGTTTTAAAGTATAAAATAACACGGATGGTAAACTGTGACTCATGAGTTGCACATAACATATTCTTTTTACCAGTGGACTCCTTCATGTTCACTGTAAGGGTAATTCGATTTACACAGTTTGGATTCGTGTCTTTATTAATGTAAATAGAATTTACACTAGCTCACAAATGGCAAATTAAAAAATAGATGATTAAAAGTATGGTCTCTATGGTTTAGTTCTGAGAGGTATGTAGACTCATAACTCGCTGATAGATGAGGTTTCTGAGAATTTAGTCAAAGTTGAAGTGTTTCCGTCAAACCGGCCCTCCCAATTAGAACACTCCTGAACATTCAGTTCACAGACAAATATCTAAGCTGATGTGAAAAACTTAAAGCCGTGAGTATCCAGCACCGCAGAAGTGGAGAACTTGCAAAGACAGTACAGTCCATGGCCAATGAAATATCTGTTTTTTTCGCCACAAAAGAGGATTACAATGACGAACTAGAAACTTGCAATTTGGTAATTTGGAGTCACACCTTACGGGTTAGAATAGCAAAAAGTTCAGTTGCGGTCACCATCTGGTATGTTTTTCTGGGGAATGCGCGTTCGGTCTTGATTGATAAAGATGGCTGCCAAAGACATAGCTTTCCCTCACCACTCAGTACTTTATAGTTACTGTAGGTTTTAATCTATTTTGCACGAAGAATGGAGAGGTGTGGGGAAGAAAAGGGGTCTGGGTCCTTTACAAGTATCCGAATGGCAGACTCTCCCATTTTACGGTCCTATGGTAGGTATACCGCTAACCGACAGAGAACCCTTTAGTGAGCGAAGACCTTTGCTCCATCTGCTCCATTCATAAGAGTGTCCTAGATACTCTAGAACCAGCAACGTCGACAGCGTTCGCGTCTGAGATTGTAAACTTTAAGCGGTCTCGCGACAAATAAGGGATGTCTGACATTTTCATCCCTGTAGGCGTTCTAGAATTTTTCCCAATCCCACCTTTTTTAAATACCGAAATTGCACCAAATATCAAATCGATTAACTCTTCACCAAATTTTTGATTCATTTTCGATCACTTCTTTTTACGTTTCTATGGGATGTTTTCGCCGGTTGCATTTTGACCCGCGTGTTTCGCTTTGTCTTGCTTTTGATTTTTGTGTTCTAATTGCAGATGATGCGTACTAAAGAAACTGAAAACGAAACAAGGTTTAAACCTAAGTTGGTCGACTTTACTAACATCAGTCTTTACTGCTCAATCACCTTTTAAATTTAGTTTAATCAGTCTACTTTAAATTTACATATCTATTGGAGCTTGTAAACGATCTTTATCTGCATTGAAAACAACTTTTACCAACCAACAATTTCAATGATTATTTTAAGTTCTGGGGCCCAGTTGTTCAAAGGGCAGTTGACGCTATTCAGTGCATAAATTTCTATCCAGCACATGCTTACTGACAAAACGCTCTGCGCTATCCACTTGATACAGATTTCTGCAGGTGATAGGGTTATCCAGTCTTCAAATCAGGGCCAGATGTCTGGCTGGGCTACCAATACAGGTTTTTGCTTGTATAAAGGGGCTCATTTCCTTTACTCTATCGCTTATCGGCCCTGGGCTCAAACAACTCTATAACACGCATTTGGATGGGCTTAAAAATTAACTACAGCAATGACGAGTAAAATATGTTTCTCAATCACAGCTTTTTTGAGCTCTGTAACAAAACGTCGGTTGTAGGCAGTTTACAGTAATCTTTAACTTAAAGAAATTGAATCTGAAGGATTTTGCAACACTGCTTGCAAAAACGTCACTACCTTTACCCAAAGAGGTGGCTGGTTCAATTCCCCAACACTCTGACAAGCTAAAAAAGGAAAAACTTTCCCATAACATTCATATAATAGTATCGATGGGTATGCCACGCTCACAACTTCAATCTTCGATCCTTTGATCAATATGTGTTAGAATCGTTTGACTTCAAAGTGGTGGTGGGTGGTG